ACGCCACCTCACAGCATCCTGGGGCATGCATGACTCAAAGGGAGGCAAGGAATCACCTACTGACTCAACAGCTTCCCATCATCCCTGGGTTTTCCCCGCTGGTCTCCCCTCCCCGCTTAGCTCCCGAGCTGGGACACCCACCAGCTCTGGTGGGGGGCGGCTGGGGGCGTGGCTGGCTCCAGACCCCCCTCCCCAGCTGGAGCTGCTACGGTCACTGCTTGGTCCCTAACAAACTAAGGTGGCTCTGGGCGCATGCCTGGGGATTGTTGGCAGGAAGTTTTGCTGAGACAGTGAGGTTTTGTGTCCGTCATCTTGGTGAATCCAGTCACTCTACCGGGGGCTGGCGGGCAGGGGGAGGCCGAGCGCGGCGATAACGGCTCGGGGGAACGCTCTGTCTCTCTCCCAGGACAGAGACGCTGCGGATCCAACTGACAGCAGGAGATTCAACCTGCCTGGAGCATCCCTGACCACAGTGCATCAGAACATGGCAGCCATCCAGGTGAGTCTCTGGCCTGTCTCCGGGAATAGAAGCCCCTTAAAAATAGGGAGCCAAGAACCCCTGGAGATTGAGCACAGACAACTGGGACCAAGGAAAAGGAGGGAGTCTAGTCATTAGCGCAGATTGGCTGGGAGCCAGGACTCCTGGGTTCTGTTGGTGGCTCAGGGAGGGGAGTGGGGTCTAGTGGGTCGGGTTGTGCTGGAGCCAGGACTCTGGTTTTCAATTCCCAGCTCTGGGAGGGTGGGGTCTAGTGGTTAGTGCAGGGGGGATCCAGGATTCCTGGGTTCCATCTCTGGCTCTGGGAGGGGGAGCGCAGTGGTTAGAGCAGGGGCTGCTGAGAGCCAGGGCTCTTGGCTTCGTATTCCAGCTCTGCCACTGACAGGCTCCATCGCCTTGGGCAAGTCCCTTCCTCTTTCTGTGCGTGTGGGGACTGTCCGTACAACAGGGCTAATCCACCCTTCCCAGTGGGGATCTTGAGGATTCCCTGCCGCGAGGGCAGGGCCAGGCTGGCTGTAGATCTCTGCAGCCATCTCTCGTCTCCTCCATCCCTGTCCACACACAGCCCCCGTTCCTGCCCCATAGCACTATCCTCCTCCTGCCCCAGCATTACCTGTCGACCCCCTGAGCCCCGGGGAAAGGCCCACATCATTCCAAGCAGGCTGGGCCGGCTCCCCCTTGCTTATCAGCCTCCCCATGGAAAGCGAGGGATAGGGCAGGTGGGGCACAGAATTAGGGCATGTCTACACTGGGGGGAGGAGGGCTTGCCCCGAAGTCACTGGATATCCACAGGGATCTCCTGGGTCCTCTGGGGGAGCGTTACCAATCCAAGCCAGAGGAGTAGGCCCCAAAGTTTGCCTGAGAAGAGAGTTCAGCCATCCAGCCTGAGCTGCTGCCAGGAGGTGCCCACTTCCTGCCCCCCGCCCTCAGAGCAGGGTTGTGCCCCCATGTCTGCCCCATCTGCAACCCCCAAACCCCCTCCCCAGCCCTACACCCCCATGCCCTCCTCCCAGCTGCAACCCCCATACCCCCTTCCCCCAGCTGCAATCTCCACATCCCCTTCCCATGCCCCCCATGCCCTCCTCCCAGCTGCAACCCCCCTCCCCAGCCCCACACACCCCCAGCTGCCACCTCCACACCAGCCCTACCCTCCCCATGCCCTCCTCCCAGCTGCAACCCCCATACCCCCTTCCCCCAGCTGCAATCTCCACACCCCCTTCCCAGCCCTACACCCTCCATGCCCTCCTCCCAGCTGCAACCCCACACACCCCCAGCTGCCACCCCTACACCCCCCTATGCCCTCCTCCCAGCTGCAACCCCCATGCCCCCTCCCCAGCCCTACACCCCTATATACCCTTTCCCCAGCTGCAACCCCCCTCCCTAGCCCCACACCTTCATACCCCCTTCCTCCAGCTGCAACCCCCCTCCCTAGCCCCACACCTTCATACCCCCTTCCTCCAGCTGCAACCCCCCTCCCCAGCCCCACACCCCCCAGCTGCCAGCCCCACACCAGCCCTACACCCCCCATGCCCTCCCCCCAGCTGCAAC